CCAATCGCCCAACAAATATGCAGGAGAAAGTGGAGATGGATTGGACACTCGCTGAGGAGACCGCTGGGTGACATCGCGCGTCAGGCCAGTGCTCGAGTGGAACCCGAAAGGGAAGCGGCGAGTGGGACGTCCAAGAGTGACATGGAGGAGATCGTGTGAAGAGGAGTTGAAACAGTATGGACTAACATGGATGCAGGTGGAAAGTACAGCAGAAGATAGAAGCAAGTGGAGACGTGCAGTTGAAGCCCTATGTTCCACTAGGAACCCAAGGGAACAATAATATAATAATAATACTTCATGATGAAATTGAACTACTTCTTCAGCTGACTATTCCCAAGGCAATAGTAGTCACCAGGATTTGTAAATAGATTACATAGAAAGATATTAACCGTAGAACTTCTACTTATTTCGTTAAACAAAGAGGATTCTCAATTCCTTAATAATTATAAATAAATACGGATTTTAAAAAATCAATAAGGACTAGGATTATATATATATACATATATATATATATATATATATATATATATATATATATATAATTAGACTATTAGACAGACAGACAGGTAGATAGACAAACACACATACATACATACATAGATATACATACACACATACATTAAAGTGGTTAATACTATGTAGAATAAATAATATGGAGAAACTAATAAGAAGACAATTGTGAGGATAAATGTCAGAGAGAACAGGGAAATATGTGAGCTGCACAAAAAGTATGCATGAATGCATGCATGAATGCATACATGCGTATTATAATTGCAGTACACTACACTACACATTCTGAGATTTAGGTAAACAATGTTATCCATCCATCCATGCTATCATCAGTGACATTCACTATTATTTGGATAAAGCCAGATCATTATACACTTCCATCAATGTGGAGGATATATATAGCAAAAAGAAATCAATAAAAATAGATATTCCATTTGTTATTATCAATGGGGTATCATGCTTTATTCGGTAACTAGAGGAACTTTACGCCATTGATATTAGTATTGTTTCCTTGGGTTCCAAGTGGAATATAAGGCTTCAACAACACATCTCCATACTTGTTCTATTCTCTGCCGTTCTCTCTAGCTGGGTACACGATTCCCCAAAGTCTGTCATCTCCCCCTCCATATTACCCACGAAGCGATAGCTATCTCATCGTTTCACGCATTCAGGTTCCTCTCGAGGGCTAACTTGCATTGCGCGCAGTGTCACTCGACGGTCTCCTCAATGGCGTGCATGCCCAATCCATCTCCATTTTCTCCTACATACGTGTTGAGCGATAGATTCCTGGTTGGTTTGTTCCCAAAGTTCCTCATCGCTAATTCTTTCTGGCCAGCCAAGCATTTGATCTTCAATATGGAGCCGGAGAAGGCAGCAGTTGAAAAAAGTCTGGAGCAGACGGCTGGAAATGCTTTCTCTGACTCGCGTGAAGTGCGTATAGAATAACTGACTGACTTTACATTTGTGTTGAACAGAATCCGAATCTTGTTCTATATGCTGAGTTATTGCAGAAGATTTCCGAACTGGTTTCAGGTTGATGAAGGCGTGAGTATCTTATCTTTCCAATTCTACCTGGCTTCTACTTCGTCTACTGTTCCGGCTGCCTGTGGTTGAAACGATGCTTCCTAGACAAGTGAAAGAAGTAAGCTCCTTCAAATCTATCCCGTTGATGTTGATTGGTGCTGGTTATTGTTGTCGTTGCTGTTATTGGTTGGTTATCTTCATCACCTCCGTCTTCTCTCTATATTCACTTGGAGTCCTGTATACGCTGCGCTACTTCTTCTGTAACAACAGAAGACAAGAGTCAGGTAACAAATCGTTTATTAAGGAAATCAACACATATTTATAGATTTTTATGTACATCATTATAGATTATTGTTAGCAGAAAAACACAGTCTTCTGATTGATGGTTTCTCTCTGAAAGTTAATCTTTCATCTCTTTGTGGCTGTTTCTTGAATATCAGATCATCTATCTGCGAACTGTATCCGCCTACGCAAAGTGTGCTGTGATTGGTTGTTGAGTCAGTCCTTGTTCTTGTTTTCACATGACTAATATTTGGGATGTGAACACTGATGTAAATTACTGTCTACCAATTCGGTTAACAGACAGCTCTCATCACAGTTTAAACCATCTGCTGTAATTTGATTGGGTAATCTTTGATACTCGCCCTTATTTTCAACCAATCAAATCAGTTATTCATTGGCTTAACTTTCCGAGTACTATATATTATATAGATATATATGAAGGGAATTATTGTCAGTGACTCAGGGCAGTCTGTATTTTGCTTAATTTTTGCAGGTTAAGGTGGTTGAAGTAGCTGTTATTCAGTCGTCAGTTGGGTTACCTAGTTACACTTCACAGTACCAAACCTATAAATCCGAAGATATAACGAAAAGTTCATCAACTCAAATTCCATCCCATAGTGACACCCAATCCAATCGGTGTCCGCAGTTTTCTACATGCATCGATATGAAAGAATACACATCGTATCTTCTCACAGCCAATTCAGTTTCAAAATGGAACGTCCACTTTGACTGACACTAAAACGAATGTCAGGGAATTTCTAGAAGTCTTATATTTAAACGAATCAGCGAATAACAAACACATTACTTAGTATAGATCAAATTTGTCGACTCATAAAAAATATAACAAATGACAAGAAAGTCCAAGTTCCAAATTAGTTTGTTTATTAGATATATCACACAGTGAAACAGTATTATTTACTGGATGGCAAGGTTTCGAACAAAATTTATTGTTCATAATCATTCCACCAATTATAATCACACGACTTCGAAACTTGAGTTTTACAGTTTTCTTTGTCTTCTCCTATTTGTCGTCGTTATGGTAGTAGAATTTTCCAGATATCTGGGTGGACAGGTGTTGAATCATTCCTATTACACGTACTCTCCTTCAGTTGATTAGATAAATAAAGCTTCCGTTATCAGTCTTCCCTACTCGCCACCCTGCAGTTACATTAGATTTTAAAACTGTCATCTTATCCCACCCATCCTATTGTACGATTGTGTATAATTGCATGTAGTGAATGGTATAGCTGAACTATGCTCTAGATTTCTTATCTTATTCGGGTCAACTAATCTAGATTTCGCTGCTAGATTTTTATGCTCGGCTAGTCTGACTGCCCCTGTTCTACCACTTTGACCTATGTATTTCACCTGACAATCATTGCAGGGTATTGGATAAATTAAATTGTTTTGTTTAATTGGCTCCATAGGATTGATACTTTAACCGACAAAGCTTGTTTCTGATTGAGTTTGTAGACAGTTTGAATGCCAGCCATTTTTATTCCTGCCTTGTTAAGAATTCTGCGTAAGGTTTCCGAGGTCCCTTCCTTGTATGGAATTACTACTGATGATTTAGATTCCTTATTATTGGTGTTGTCATTATCTTGAGCATATTTGACATGCATGTCGTCATTAATATTATTATTATTATCACTATCACTAATATCATTACTTATTTTATTTTTACATTCCCTTACATACTTTCTGTCTAACTTATCAGGGTAATTATTAAGTTTCAAGGCTTCTCTTATATGTATCACTTCTTGTCTTAGATTTTCCTTGATACTACTTAGTTTTTGTGCTCTACATTATTTAAACATTTCACCAATCCTATTTTCACTGACATCTAATAATAAACAAACTAATACGGAATTACTTACTACCACAGAGTCCAAAGTTTTACACATATATTCAAGTTCCAAGTCAACAAACATGATCAATAGAGATGTAAATTAACAAACACCCAATCACCACGACAATGGTTGTCAGTAGGGGGATACAATTATATCACCATTCATGAAGAATTCAAATTAGTTGATGTCAGACTGAAATTTCGGCTGAAGATGTTGTCTAGATGGGGGACCGTCCTTCGCTCCGTCCTTCTCAATGGCTCTGAAACTTGGCCAATACGAGTTGAAGACATGAAAAGGTCGTCTGTTTTTGATTATAGATGTCTACGATCTCTTTCTCACGTTACGTGGCATAATAAGGTAAGTAATGTTGACGTTAGGCGTAGAGTGTTGGGCGATGAGGGAAAATTAATCGAAGAGGCTATAAAGTTACATAGATTGAGATGACTAGGTCACGTGATGCGCATGCCTAGCCATCGCCTCCCCCTCCCGACGGGCATTACTAGCTGATATAGGTGCACGTTGGAAAAGAGTAAGTGGTGGCCAAACAAAAACATGGCCTCATCAATCCATGAAATCCCTGACAGTTAAACTGAGTCAGTTAGGGAGGGAGATGCAGACTTCCGGGTTGGGGCCCGCCCTCGGGACTCTAAGAATCAATGAAGGCTGGAGACAATAGGTGAAATGGCTCAAAATCGTTGTCAATGGCTTACGCAGATGTATTCAGTCTCTGTAATCTTCAGTCTCATATTCCTTTCTACCATTACTCATTCATTCTGTTTCACTCTTATACTTGTCAAAACTCTATTGACTCTCGTAACTCATCTTCTTGTCTACCTTTGTGCGCTATTTTGAACGTGGCGACTCGAACTGCTGCACTTCGGTGCCAAGTTCTATGTTGAATCCAGACAGACTAGATGGGGGACAACGAGAGCTCTGCAATAAAACCAACCAGCTCAGGGAACACAACCACTAAATCAAAATCATCCACCTGAGCTACAAATCTCTCTTGTGTTTGTGTTGGGGGGATGTTATGGTTGCTAAATACTCATCAATCACTGGCTCCGTAGGTGAACTGATGAAGGGGCACGGCTAAACATAAACATACTTGTATATCTGACTGGTGCATAGTGCATTCTCTTACTATCCGCGATATGGAATAAGACCATTCAGCTAGCTGAAATGAGATCAATGAAGATAGAGTGAGTGAGTGAGTGAGCGTGGGATTGGAAGAATCCGACCCATAATCCAATGGTTAACACTCACATTGACATGTAATGTCCACAATTGCGAACCAACAGAAATGAAGTAAAAAAGAATCTAAATAAAAACACTTACGGGCAAAAAATCGATAGGTGTGCCGTTTTGTAACTCGTAGATAAAATGGTTCAAAAGCAACACCATTTGAATCAAGAATATTCTGTTTACCACGAACTAAAAATCCACCAGTCAACTGTGAAAGAAATACAATTGATGTTCTATTTGTCAATACAATATTGAACAGTTCATCTGTAGATGGTGGTTGACTTTCATCCACTGGACGACCACTTGTTGACACAGCGCCAAGTTTACGAGCTGTTAAAGACTGTCCATCAGTAGTTGCTTTACCACTGCCAGGATTTGAACGAAATACTAGCTGACGAAGTCGTTTATCGCTTGGTTTATTCACAGTTAATAGTTCAAATAAGCTGTCTTGATCTCTATGAGAGGAGAAAGAAAGGAGAAGGATAGGAGACAGGTAATTTTTAAAGAAAAATTAAAGCAAATTAGTGATATGACCATTAATACACATTATTTATTTATTTTTTTTATTTTGATTATAGATTGATGCCACACAGTATTTTCAGTACAAGTATGGAGTTTTCAGCATGGATATCGGTAGCCCAAATTTTGCAGGCCGACCATAGATATTGGGTGTGCGTCGGCAGCGGATCGAACCCCGGACCATGTGCATGGTCGGCGAGAGTCCTAACCACTGTGCCACCGACGCACATGACAGTTCGCGTTATCGAACTTCCTACCTAGTAGTCGATTTCCGAGCCTACTGTTCTAATCACTGTTGGCAACAACGGTACAGTACGACAACATCACTCAAGAAGACAGACCGTTGACGAATACGGCTTTCACTGTCTTGAATCAACAGTGAAAAGGGTTGACAGCAATTACGTATATATATATATGCTTTGAATGGCCTTGAAAGGCACTAATTACATTGATAAGTTAAAACGGTAAACAACCAATAGGGTTCCAAGGTCATTGAGTGGGTAGGGGGAGGAAATACAAACATCACTGTACTGTAAAGATATATGTAGTATTTTAGAAACACTTTAGGTCAATAAAACAATTATTTCCCTTTATGAATTTCGATAAGACAAATAAGAAGACGTAATTTATCTGAAATGTGTAGTGGATTTATTTGGATAGCATATTCAAGACCTTCTTATCACATACACACACACACACGCAGGCCCTGGGTTCGACCCCCACTGGGGTGAGCGTGTACTGCCAAAACAGCTGTCCAGTACTAGAGTGCTAGTCGTGAGCGGTGGTTCGCTAACTGATATCAATCCGTGCTCAAACTTAAAATGGGATTACCAAGGCAGGTTCAAAGTTACGACAAATAATTCTTGAATACATAAAATAGGCTGAAGCCTATTTTAAGGGTAAGGGTTCAGTGAATTTAAGTATATGACACAAGCGCATTATATATATGTTTTTGCGAGTTGATCACGGATTCATATCAGTTAGAGAACCACTGAAAACCAGCCGGGAGTACTGGACAGCTGTTTCATCCCACTCTGGGTCTCATCGTCAGTATGCACCCACCACCACAGTTCGAACCCAAGACCTTCCGGTTACAAGGCAAGCTAGCCACTGGGACCTAATTCAACGGCCCATGAACTCTAACTTCTACCAATTCATGATTTAGCGCGACCACCAACCAATGTCATCGGTGCGACATCTATCCTCACACTTGACTAGTTGGACCTCACTGGTCACGACTTCTCACTAGAACTCCTGGAAACTCCGTGATCAACTCGTAAAAATAAATCTAATCCTTACAACCTAATTATTGAATATATATATATATATATATATATATATATATATATATATATGGATTTACAGGCACCAGTGAAATTAACTGCATGGCTCGTCTCTATATATGTTTTGCGATAGGTGGCGTCGAACATCTATTTCCGGAATTATTCAAATCAGGTGATTTTATTCGTCCCTCCAGCCACTTAGGAATAAGTACTGTATAAATGTGGGGGTGGGGACCTATTGATCTCTGCAAGTCAGAACTATGTAACACTGTTCTCATCCTCCTCTTTTTCCTACTCATTTTCTTACTCGATATCCGTGAATCTGCTCAATAAATATTCTGACCAATTCCGACAAAATAATAATAACTACGTAAATAACTGCAGTTTTTAGTGATACTGTCTTTTTCATGGAGAAATTTGTCTTCTGGAGAACCACAGGAAAACCTAGGACAGTACTGGACAGCTGTTTCGTCAGCCTAGTTTGGGACTCCTCATCAGTATGCCTTGTGATCAAAAGGTCCTGAGTTCAAACTTTGGTAAGCGTGTAGTGCTGAAGAGTCCCAAACTAGGCTGACGAAACAGCTGTCAAGTACTCCTTGTTGGTTCTCTCCAATGGTTCTTCAACTGATGTCACTTCGTCATCAAACCTGCAACCAATCAAATTCCTGCAAACTAACATCTGATAAATAAATCTTTGTCTTTTCAGTCAGTCAGTCGTATTCTCTGTCTTCTCAGAGTGGTTATAGTAATCATCAAGCGACCAGTTCCATATTGTTGTTATATTGAGGATGGTAACAGTAATAATAATAATGAATTCACAAATCTCAATATTATATCTCTTATTATAGAACACAAAGGAGTGGTTTCATCATTGACTGGTCATCACCAGGGTGAAATCACTGTAATGTTCATAGTACTTTGTGGTGAGGTGCAGGCTGCATACTAGTCAGTCGGGGTTTGCAGCATGATCCCACCGACAGCTAGATCGTTGGAGGCAATCAGCATCATCCTCATCATAACCTTCTAGGTTGCAGCTGAGTCCAACTGATGTTGCGTCAACAAGTTAAGGCAGGCTTCTATATCATTGGATAGTTGGAGGTAATCAGCAGGAAGCCCCCCCTCACCTAGGTTTGGAACTTGTTGGCACTCATTAGTCAGCAGGACAGGCGTATCTGCAATCTGGGAGGGACCCATGTCCCTCCTGAGATTCAAACGCGAACAAAGGCCTAGAGACATTACGCTAATTAAAAACTAGTGTTCAATCTAAGTATCCAATACAGTCCTGAAGGAGGTCAATATATATATATATATATTTTTCCTTCACGTTCCCCAGAGGAACATAGGGCTTCAAGCTAGTGGCTTGAAGTTTCTGTAGCAGTGCTTATTTTACAGGATGGGGTTGCTAGCCTCATGCCCAACCTTTCCTCTTCACCAGCGTTATTTCTGGCTTAGTGAGGTAAAGGAGTGCTACAGCCGGGGGTCGAACCCCGGACCGTGTGCATGGTCGGCGAGCATCCTAACCGCTATGCCACCGAAGGAGGTCAATCGCCAGCCTCAAAAGATCAGTGGTAACGTTTCTGACTGACTGCAATACTGTGGGACACGGGTTCGAATCTCAGAAGGGACATGAGTTTTTTGAAGGTTGTAGATATGCCTCGCTAACTGATGAGTGCCGATAAGCACGAAGACCTTCCTTCGAATCGCCTACAAGCATTTAATAACAACAATTATGAGTGCATCGTGATGGCGTGCCATCTAGTGGCATGTTGGCCACATTGAAAAACTTGACTGATACGATTCAGTCTGCAGGTAAACAAAGGTCGATATACATGACATGAGTTGGTGTCCATTCAAAATTCTATATTGTTAAAATTAAGTCGTTGAAGGAACTGACGTTAAAATGTACTGAAGGGGATTTTTATTTTACTTCTATCCAATATTTTCACATTTATGTGTTGACGACACAAGAACACGGATTAGATTTCAGATACATTCAATCAGTGGAACGTCTACCGGTGGACTGTATGTCGCTCACAGGCGTCAACTCAATATATTCTTCTCACCAGTCATTACTTCTTTACCGTACGACCATTGTGATTGGCTGTTCAAGATCATTTCGGTCACTATCGTCGAAAGCCGCCAGCGGCCCAAACAGAGAAGGCACGCATCATGTCCTGTAAATAAAAAAGTCTCAACCATTTGGTTAAGTACTACAAATAACCAAAAACACAGAAATATGGTAGGCAATAGAGGTCAGTATTTTTAAAAGCTAATAGATACGCACAGTAGAGTGTTAATGAGCTAGTCATTGAGTATACTCAGCTGTATACACTTACCCATCTGAAGCCATATTCTTTACACCCGACGAAGCAGCAAGTTTCCATAGCTTTCCACTACGTGAACGTAGACGCCAGAATCCTGTTGTCAAGAAGTAGACATCTGAATGAATACCACCATTAGTAAGTGAATGGTTATTGCTTATTAGGCTAGCATTATTATTATTACTATTACTATTAATAGTATTGTTCAATGAATCCCCATCTGGACCAGATAATTGATTTGGAATTGGATTAGCGGCTACAGCCTCTAATGCATTAAATCCCTTCCCACCGATATACTCCAATTGGAATATAGCTGTTTCGTCTAGTTCATGTTGATTAGCAGAGATTTCAACACCTGAAAAGAATAAAAACAAAAAAAGGAAAACTTCATTCGGAAGTCTGCTCTGAACATGTCGCCCAGAAAGGCAACGAAACGTTCGCAATTAAAAACCTGCCAACTGTCAAACCTTAAATTTATACATCAAAAGTAGAAAGTAACACTGTAGTGGTGGTAGAAGACGAGAGACTTAGTAAAGGAATGTTTATTTGCAATTTGGTATCTCTACATAGACATCGTTTGCACAGATCTACCGTGTTGTGTTACTTCTGAACTCTCTTCATATTGCGTTTCTTTATGTTCCTTTCATGTCTCCCACATATACTGCCGCAACGCTGTATCATTTGCTTTCTGTGACATCGGATCTATCTCCCTGCCTCTTTGATGTTTTATACTGATGAACATCTCTTTACATACTACTGATAAATCTTATCAGTAGCACTCGCTACAACATGAAAGAGAATCCCCTCAGTTATCTGTAAAAGATTTTTTCTTATGTGTTAGGATATGAGCCAGACTTATTGTAACGGAAGAAGACAACAGACTTGATAACGGAATGTTTATGTGGAGTCTGATATGCTCTGTAAATAGGGAAATTATGCACACCTTATAAGGTCATCATTCGCAGAGATCTTCGGTGTTGTGCTACGTAATTCTGCGCTTCCTTCGTACTGTGTTTCTTTGTCTTCCTTTCGTGTCTCCCATTTCTTTTCTCTTCGGAAAACAGAAAGATTGAGCGAAGAAATATTTACTTTTCAATTAGATCCTCATCTTTGGCTCTACTCTAATATAAATAGCATTTTTATTACAATACACAACAGTTTACCGAACAAGTGGCGATATGTTTGTTAACAATAATTAAACAGTGTCAAAATGTCAATGGGTTAATAATTAACGAAGAAAATCAATACACATTTAAAAGGTAGAAATGGTTTGAATAAATTAATTTTACAAGAATAACATGTAATTAAAGATGAAGTGGTCAAAATAAAATAAAAATAAAATAATTTGGACAATTATAATTTAATAGGTTTAGGGGGAGGGGGCGACGTAGTCCTGTTTATGCATTCTTATAGAGATGGCCACGGTAAGGAAAGTGGCTGTACAAATTTCTTCTGAACACATAGGCTTGGCTTCTTCAGGTGGATTCCGATTGCTTCAGCTGTCTGTAGAAGACGAACTCGTAGAGCAAAGTTAAGATTAGTTGGAATACGAAAAATAATTTTAAATGCAGTGTTAACATCAACCTTATGCTCAGTATCAACAAGATGTGCTAAAATAGAACTATGAATAGATCTTGTTTGTCCCTTGCTTAACCATGTTGGATGATGTTCGGAAATCCGACGATGCTATTTATATTAGAGTAGAGCCAGAGATGAGGATCTAATTGAAAAGTAAATATTTCTTCGCTCAATCTTTCTGTTTTCCAAATATCTAAATGGGGATCTTTTCTCTTTGACGTCAAATCTATTTCTCCGGTATTTGATATTTTTAATGCCTCTGAACGTCTCTTTACATACTACTGATAAGTGTCGTCAGTAGCACACGCCATATAAGTATTCTAAGGGTGATTGATACAAACCCAGTTTCATATAATGATTGAATTAGATGAGAAGCGCCATTGGGTGGAAATCGAGCGTTGAAAGCAATGAGGCACACACACACCTTCAGTACAAATTGACACACTCATTTTACAGTGGTTTTTAGGAGAACTGAACACCCAACCCAGCCCAGCTTTTGACACCAGGCAGTCCTATCTCGTGGGGTAACCTCGAGGGTCCCCTCTTTTCTTGGATAGACTATGAAGCCAACTATGTAAAGACAAATCACTGACCGTCTTAAGGTCTCATGGGGTCATGGAGTTACCCCCTTGATACTTGACAGAAGGGTGTTGCCGATTCTATATGAGGGGTCAATAGGGCATAACTACTACTGAAGGGACAGGACAAATATACACAAACACACAGGGCAAAACAATGTTGCCAAGTTTTTTCCACCATCATGCTTTTCAAACTTATCTATATTTTTGATTGCACACTAGTCAGTAACTAGTGTCATGCGTCTAGTCCTATCTTCGGTGCAGACTGAATTCTATCAGTCACGTTTGCAATGTGGCCACCATGCTAGGTGGCTCGCCATTACGGTGCACTGTGAATTGTTGTGCAATCAAAAATATCCAATACAGTCCTACAGGAGGTCAGTCGCGAGCCTGAATAACTCAGTGGTAACGTCTCTGACTCACTGCAGCACTGAGTGACGCGGGTTCGAATCGCGGAAGGGACATCAGTTCCTTCAAGGTTGCAGATACGCCTTGCTGATGAGTGCCAACTAGCACGAAACCTAGGTCCAAGGCTTCCTGCCGATTGCCTCCAACCATCTAATACAAACTTATCTATATCCTATTTTGCTTTATAACTGAGTACAAGTAAAACGTAGACAAAGTTTTCTTTAGGAAAAAAAAATTCCATCCAGACATAAACAAGGCATTAAATTTGAAGTGAACTTCAGCATAAACAAGAAACACACACACACAGAAGTATGTACATCAGTATTTCCCCCTCGCACGCCACCCTATCATACCTTTTTTTAACACAAAGATAAGAGGATAAACGGATTGATTTTTCGATGGAAACTTTTCTACTGTCTCGTTTCGCCTCTCCTTACTTTCAAAATATATTCAAAAACACGTTAGTAGTAGTAGTACAAAAAAGGAGTGAAAAATTCGACACCAAAAATTTTCAATGAATTGTACCCAGTACGAATAAATGGATCGTTCGTTTGTGAATTTTTTTTTGTGTGTAAGTATGTATTTATGATCAATAAATACTGACATCTGACAGACAAGATGTAAACTCTCACTCACTGCTTGTAGTTAGTAATAGGATTTATAAAGGATAGTTTCGGCTGGTTTCGGACTCATCAACTGAATACATATATGTGCGTATCTCAATCAGTGATTTTCTCCTGATAAGACTCAGGGATTTGATTGGTCACGGAAATGATGATTACGAGCTGATATCAGTTAGAGGACCATTGGGAAACCAGCACTAGATTACTGGACAGCTGTTTCGTCAGCCTGGTTTGGGATGACTCTTTGACAGTACGCACCTATCGCCAGGATTCGAACCCAGGACGAGCTTGTGAACTATTCAGCCATTGAGACCCTATCCAAATAGTTCAGAAATTCCAACTTCTACCGATTCGAGATATATACAGAGCAATCAGCACCAGGCAATGTCATAGGCGAATAACTTTTATCTTATCTGGCTTGGTGAACCCACCCGGTTGGCTACATTCAGAAACGCTACAAAATGAGGAGATTCACAACAAGTTACAACTGGTTTTCGTTGTGCAAATGAGATGGCACTAGGGATCCGAATATTGGGTGAATAATGTCTGAACTAGAGACTCGACTTCTAGCCGGCCATTGGTCTGCAGGTCCACGCCTACAGACTTTTGAGTAACCAAACAGTAACTATTATCAACTCTCACAAAAGAGGTGGGCTCTTTATATATTACAAACTGGATTAATATTTCAAAGTTCTAGAAGCCAACAGCAAATAAATAATATTCAAGTAAGAAGCAATGGGGCATTGAGTCATCTATCCTAATGGAATCATATATATCAGCAAATAAGAATGTAGAATTACAAATTGCGTATCTTTGGTTGCAAATTATTATTATTAATAATCCTGATAAGTGTGTTACAAATCTTTCTGATATTACTCTATCTACTCATCAGAAAGAAGCTTTATCGCACGCAATTTACGGATTTAGCCATCCATGCTGAGTTTGAAAACTTATATGACCAACTCAAACCTCTTGTCGCAACATCCGATGAAGATCGGGGTTGGTTTAAGGCCAAGATGGTGGATATAGCTTATCAGTTTTTAAGCAACAACCCAAAGGAGAAAAGTATTTTAAATTCCCAGCATTTCGAAACCTTGAAAGAGCTACGGGAAATTTCTAATATAATTATTACGAAACCTGATAAAGGTTCTGGAGTCGTCATTATGAATAAGAGTGACTACAAATCTAAATTGATTTCTATTCTTGATGATAAAAGCAAATTTAGCCGTGATCCCTCCTCAGAAGATATTCAGTTGTTGCAGGGCACATTGACAGCTAATCTACTGAAGCTTCATGGCCTAAATGTTATAAGTAAAGATAAATTTGACTCTTTAAAACCATCAGAATGTAAATTCCCGCATATGTATGATGGTTTGTCAAAAATACATAAACCCAATAATCCTCTACGTCCTATATTGTCAGTGTGCAAATCCCCAACGCATAAACTTGCTAAATAGTTAGTAAAATTATTACATCCAGTCAAAACACAATTCTGTAAGTATGTGCTAAAAGATACATTTGAATTAGTTGGTTTTCTTGACAATAGTAATATTAATATTATGAATAAGAATATGTACTCTTTTGATGTAAACTCGTTATTCACTAATGTGCCTTTGATCAAAACACATTTGACATTTTGTGTGATTACAATTCCACAAACAATTTTTTCATCCCGTTTCCTATATCTTATTTAAGGGATTTATTACTTCTATGTACTGGCAATGTTAGGTTTACAGTTGAAGGCGACTGTTTCCTCCAAGTTGATGGTGTTGCTATAGGAAGTCCGTTAGGGCCCCTTTTACCTGATATTTATATGTCGTACATTGAGAGCTTATCGGAGGATTTAATCGAAAATATTACTATTATTACAATGCCACCGCTATCCAGTACCATTGTGAAGTATCTGTTGCGGACCTCAGCACTGAAGAATTCCAAACTGGGACGAAACATCTGTCTAGTATACCCCATGGTTTCCAATAGTTTTCTAACTAATCTCAGTTCATGGTAAAATATGCCTTGAAATCAATCAATTCTGTACGAACAGGCAAGTGAGAAATTATTCCACTGGTAATAAAAGATTGACTAAGGTATAGACTGATGAGTGTGCTCCACGGATGCCAGTGTGCGGGTAAAGATACTCCCGGATGATAATGGCTGTCGTAGGAGATATATATATCGCAAAGTGGTAGTGCGGTGAGAGCTGTCTGCTAGCCAAAATTGTAAGCAACAATTTACGTCCCGAATGAGGGTTTGGACAGAAAACAAGAACATAGCCTAACCTTGAGGAACTCAACGACCAATCACAGCAGACTTTGCGTGGGTGGATACGATTCGCAGATAGATGATCTGACCATCAAAGAAATGGCCACAAAGAGATGACAGATTAACTTTCAGCTAGAAAACAACCAATCAGAAGACGTTGCTTCTCTGCTAACAATAAAGCTAATAATAATGTACATAAAAATCTATAAATATCTGTTGATTTTCCCAATAAACGATCTGTTTCCTGGCCCTTGTCTTCTATCGTTACAATAAGATTTGGATTTTACGGGCTGTCAAAAATGATAAATAGCAAAGTACTTGCATGGTAGCATGAAGATCTTGGATACGTACACTGTTGAAAAGTGCCTACTCTTGAAGGTCATCACATATAGAGTGCATCATAACTCAACACTTGTTGATGATATCAACACAGTTAAATATACTCAGAAGGGGGGGGGGAAGATGGACAGAACAAAAAAAGTACGCGCTGAGCTTACCTTGTTTTACTGATGCAAATTTACCATTATGCGCTAGTATACCAACTTGTAGAGCAGTATGCTCAATTAAAAAGAGTTCTTCTTTACCAATATTTGTTGTATTTGTTTTCACTTTAGTTGTTCCAGGTCCTATTGTAGTCAAGTAATAGCCTTTTTGATCACGAAAAGCAAATGTCCCTGGATTACCTGTACACACCACACACAGGAGAGAATAAAGTTAGTAATTTATCGCTGATGATAAGGCAATGAGAACAAATTACATAAATATCTGTCTAACTGACTGGTTTCAACACAGAATTTTGCATACCTCTGCAGCAGTTCCAGCTGCCACACTTCTTGGATGTATCACACAAAGTAAGAGAAGGGAGTAAAGCAAGATTCGAAAGAGAAAGATACCTATGATCAAAGACAGCTAGCTAGCCTGTCTTCTCATGTCTTCCACTCTCAATGGCCATGTCTCACTCACAGACATGAAGAAGGACGGAGCGAAATGACTGCTGAGCAGTACACACGTCCTTTGGTCGACAGCCAGCCATCCAGCTGGATATCCTGCTTACACCAGAGATCATGCAGACTGGCAAATATCAAACGAGCCATCTGTATCCGTGCTGAGATTTCGTCAGCGATCAGATCAACCCGCTGATGGGGCTGATGCAACTTCCCAAATAAATGAAGTGGCCAACACGCTCCACCAACCACTTCACTGCCCCCCTATCTTTGAGCTGGGAATGAGTCGGTGCAGTCCAGTGCTGTAGTATCACCTTATATTTCACAGGAGCCAATTGCATGCAAAACATTCGAAGATTGCTGCTCCTCAAGGTGTTCGGAGTATTTTGCATTTTGTCAGGGTCTTCACATGGGAGGACTATATCACCCGCATATTCCAGGTAGATGAGATTATACCCTGGTAACAAGTCAATCCCTAAGTCGCTGAAGTCAGTTAAGGTTCAGTCAATTAGTACATCCATGATGAAACGAAACAGGCTAATGATAAGTGTTACTATTCTTATATAGTCACATGACACCTGCTTTGTTTGCCAATCTGAAATGTTTTGCTATGTGTCTGTTGATCGTTAGTCAATTATGACTCACAATCTATCTTGTTTGCCTATTAACTAAATAACAATGAATGACCTTTGTCACATGACATTGCAGCCAATCAGAATCCAGCTGGCAGTAAGAAAAACTACTTTATCTATCTATCTTATTGGTTCCTATATGTTAGTATTTTCTTTATACTCTTGTACTGTACAATTAATTGACGCTTTTTCACTCACACTCTTGTGTGACAGTTAATTTCCCTTGTTGGAACACTATCCTTATCCTTCGTCAACGTGTAGGTCTTCTAAATTACTCTTCAGGTCAGGAAAATTTAACTACTAAGTAATACCAGTCGTTTCCGTCATTGTCCGTTGTATCTCGTTAGTCATATTTATACTCGGCCACTCCACAACAATTATTAAGGCACAAACTTGGTGCATCATGCGTACCAACAGGTGCACCATACGATACCCCATAGTTTGTGCAAGGACTGGGATACTACCTGAACGTTCAGACCGAAATACCTGGTTGTCTTAATGGGACAACCCTCCCACACAAGCCCTTGATTTGAAATCTAATCGACACCGTAGTGGGATAGTATCAGAAGCCCCATTCCCATGTTTACCGGTGACCAAAACGGATTCATACACGCCACTTGATCCTTCCGGGTTCTGAAGCCCATATACACTGCAGGTTTTGTATGAGTGTTTTCCATTTATCCTAGGTAGACCTACACGTCCACCAGTTCAGCTGTAAGTGCAAACCAGCTGTTTGGGAAATTTTATAAACGAAAACTGCTAGTTAAGCTTTCTATCCTGACTGACCTGTTTTCTGATTTCAGCAGGGATTCATTTACAAAAATATGTTGGTCATATTTATAAAACCATGGCTTAGTTATTTAAACCTCCAGGGCATGACTCACGCACATTGTATGAGGTTCAGTGATACTTCCTACCCACCCAGTTACTCAAACTGAAGTATGTGGTGCAGGGGACTCATTTTCTCCCATTTAGAGTTTAGTAAATCCTATATAAATGCTGTCATATACACAGACCCATAAGTGAGGGATTAAAACTGAGCGGTTCAAGTTAACTCCATGTCATATCAACCAATTTGTGAAATATGATCCCGATGATATGTAGACAGATAAACAATGGATTACCCATCATTGGTAATATGGTGATCGATATCCAGTCTAGAAATTAACCAATCAGAATCTGCCTCCGTACAATAACGCCCACTATTTTATTGATCATGGTTACAGACTAAATGACATGCCTTGGGTGATATTTTGAATCGCACATTATTGAGTAAAATATACTTTGCACGGCTCACGTTGTTGTGTGTTCTCTTTTAAGCAGTGCGGGCTGGAGAAACAGCTAGCTGTTGTATAATGTTATTGGTGTAGTCAAGTGATACTGCTGATCAGAGCGTCTGTGCCCAACTCGGTGTCTTTATTTCAGTCTCAATGTATTGCGAAACATAATAGATCCATAAAAATAAATGGGTGACTCTAAACTATAGCAGCCCGGAATGAAACTACCTAATAAAGACCTTGTCAAATATCCGCCGACCAATCAGATGCGTCAGAAGTAAAAGTGCCTAATTTGAAAAGAAGTTTGTATAAAAGTAATGCAATCTTAAAAATAGTTAATTAAGATAACGTTCTTCTATATGTTTCAAGAATACATCCCAATTTCTCAAAGGAGTCCTCATAGTTAGGCTAAACCAATTTGTGTACATAAATTCATCCAGATAACTGTAAATCATCGTGTTTCTTGATCCGTTCACCGCTCTGATCCTCTTTTTTTAAGTAACTTCAGGAACTAGTGTGAGTTCCATCGAAAGGACTAACGAAGTCGTTCGTATGATTGACCATGTTGTGAATATAGCCCAGGGATGACAGTTGGCTGTAGCTACTCCATCGGTCTATGTGAATGGTTATGCCAGGCAGGACTAAACGTTGGATGGTAGGTAATAAAACATCAGCGCTACGATCAGAGATCGTCTGGATATATCCCTTGCGAAGGGTGGTATCAAATAATCCCAAAACCCACTGCTTATTGGCACTCAATCTACCTCGATTATATTTCCTTTTTATCAGCACTGTTTCATCCACATGAACAATGACACCGACGCCACCAAGTATTTGCGTCATATTGTTCGTTTTCCATGACGTCATATCTCTTCAGTACTGATACCACTGCACTGGAAACACTTTTAGAATGCTGTCGCTTTAACTGGTCTTTTCAGGACCCAGTTGTGATACAACATCATAATTTTCGTTAAAGGCAACTTCCACTTGGCGAAGAAAGTACCTACAGCATCTATAAACTGAAAAAAAGGACGGCATACCTTCTCGAACTGATTTTCCGCTTCGACAGTCTTCGCACCTGTAGACAAATCCATCAGTGCATCACACCTCTACATGTACACGTTTTCTACCTTCCTATGAGTTTGTTTTCCAAACAGTATTTAAATACTCCATCTGGATGAAATTTGCTACGTGATTGGTGTACGACCTCCATAATTGTGCCTATATACTATGGACTCATCTGATTGGTTGCCCAAGGTCATTCGTTCGTTCATTGGATAGTTTCGTTTTGGGCTGTTATAGTTTAGAGTCACCACTAAATGTACTATTTTTACGATTGTAAAGTGTCAGGTGATGACATTAATGAAGGTTGGGTTTGGCTAACCCTCCAAGTCTCTGAAGTACTCACCACAGAAGCATTGACTTGACGCTAATGGTAAGCAAAATTTGAATTTTATTCCATTTTTTTTAATTGCTGTAGATCTGTACACACAGATTTCAAAGTAATGAAAGCCTGTATTGTTTTATTATCAATCCTGATTACCATGTGGTGAGAGCTGTCTGCTAGCCAAAATTGTAGACAAATTTATGTCAATGTTACATCCCGAATCGAGGTCATGAGAAAAAACGATGACAAGGCTTAAGCTTGAGGAACTCAACAACCAATCACAGCAGACTTAACGTGTGCAAATAGGATTAGCAGATATATGGCTTAACTTTCTGAGAAACGGCCACAAGCAGTACAGAATAACCTTCAGCAAGAAAACAACCAATCAGAAGACGTTACTTCTCTGCTAACAATAACGCTAATAATAATGTACACAAAAATCTATAAATATCTCTTGATTTTCTGAATGAGAGATCTGTTGCCTGGCCCTTGTCTTCTGTCGTTACAACCATTGATATCCTCATCTGTATCTCCTGTATGCGAAACGATGCCGCCTTTAGATTCTTTCTATTGATGGTGATTGGTGTTTATATTGTCAACATAGTCAGGAATCTCTATCGCCTTCTTATTACTTGCATATAACCTTGTACTATTGAATGAAATGTTATAAAATAACAATAACAGAAAAGTGGAGAAGAAAAAGTTTACGGGACACATAATATCATGTTTTTCATCTAACAAGCACACTACTTACCTGGACGATATTCAATAGAAAATAAAGTAGAATCATCCATTTCATCAGCCATTTCTCCACTTGGTTTTAAATATTTACCATTTGGCATTTTGAAAGCAACACGACCAAGACGTGATACAGCGGCTTTACCAACAACTGGGACATTTGGACCACGACCAAAGCCTTGACTTGTAACCATTGTCGGTTGTTCAATCCATATAACAGATTCTGCACCCCATGGATACGGTTGGTCAGCTCGAAGCTCCAGACCATCATTAAGAAGACGTAGATAACGTGAACGAAATTGATGACGAATGTGTACCTGAATAGAAAAGTAAACGACTGATAATTGAAACCGTCTAACTTAGTTCAACAAACGCAGATAGATGAGAAGTAGACGAAATTGAAAACAACATTTTAAGTCAGTGGCTACAAAAGTAGAAGTGTTTATCCATCAAATCTGGATTTAGCTTACCTTGTAGCCAGGACACAATCTCATTGGTCAGCTGCTCATCTCAAGGTTTAACCTCCGTAAAATGAACAACCAATCAGAATAGTTTATTATCCGCTAACCTAGCTGACCCTAAATCTTGCCAAAATTGTATAAGATTGGTGTGTTTTTCCTTAATAAAACAGCCCATTACCAATTCTTTTGTCTTTTCCCGTTATACCAGTAGTGTTATTGTTTTTTACAATATGTGTTTCCTAGCCTCACGGGTGTGTGTTGGCCAGGGAGTCAACCTTGGACCTTCCGCCTGACCGGTCAGCACCCTACCACTGGACCACCGACCGACTCACGTACACAGAAGTGATATTACACAAATAGACAGAATAAATACCTTGAAAAACTGTGTGTAAATGAAGCAATGCTATAAATTGGCAGAAGTTATAATTCATGGACTGGCCATTGGATTGGTGGGTCCCAGTGGCTTTATGGTCTACGAGCTCGCTAGCCTAGTAACCGGAAGGTCCTGGGTTCGAGCTCCGGTGGGTGCATACTGCTGAAGGTCTCAAACTAGGCCGACGAAACAGCTGTCCAGTACTCCAGTGCCGATTTTCAATGGTTCTCCAACTGATGTCAGCTCATGATGAAATCCTCCAACCAATGAAGCAATGCAAGTTAGTAGGTAACGGAGCACACAAAGAAAATGAGTACACACACAGTGATAACACAACGCCGAAAATAAATGAATGTTAAAATAGCATCCAGTATATACTACTGGAAAAAACCACTAGTGACTGTTGGCGAGATAGGCAAATTTGATAATGATAACCTTATCCCAAATAACAATAATAATCATAGAGAATGGAATTTTCGGTGGTTTTACACATTTTACAACAATTCAGTTCGTTTTATAAATATGTGGATACATAAAATTGGAAAAATAATAATAAAACCCACAAAATCTGAAGATTGCTGGAAAAATAATGAATTGTAAATAGATAATATCGTAGGTAATACATGTAATAATAATCTCTGTTTATACTTTGCAGTACAGTTACTGATTTCAAAAGTTTGTAGGTTCTTTTCTGACATCTAACTCTCTCTTCACAGACAACCACCTGTGCTAAATATAGTGGTATGGTAGAATTTTTATATTTAGTACCTCTACGAGCATAAATTCTTATGAAATGTCCTCTAATTTCACTCCCGAAGAGATACAAAGAAAAAGTTGCGAATAAGTGGAGAGGATATTCGATATCAGACATGATAACTTTAGCTAACTGTTTGCAAAAACTAAAATGCCTGTCAACCAACAACAATGTCAGTTAGTTGAGTCACATACACATACATACACAACCAACGACTAGACCTCTGCAAGATTACAAGAGATGACTGTCATTGCTGGTTTGAGACTATGAGACTTTGTAAACAATTCCAAGATGCTTTTCCGATTGACTTAGCCTCCTTTAATGAACCTTGAAGTCACTTCATCATATTTTACTGGTCACAGGCATGATAAGAAGTTGACATCAGTCAGAAAGCCATTTAAAATCCTCTGAGGAGTACTGAACAGCTGTTTTGTCCAAGTTGAGGACTCCTCATCAGTGCGCACCTTCCGTTTAAAAGGCAAGCTCGTAGACCATTCAGCCACAGCTCCCCGATCCAATGGCCCATGAATCCCAACTTCCACCAATTCGCGATATATACATATAGCGCAACCGCCAGTCAATATGTCAAAGGCGAAGCACCGTCGAAGCATCCACACAAGGAGCCAATATGCCAATAGAGATCGAACATTTCAGTTCAATCAATCAACGGGAATATAAAAAATTGACTTAAACGGAAATAAAAACTGATGCCCGTTGCACAAGAAAGAGGTGACTCTCGTGGTCCAAGTGGTCTAGAGAATCATGTTTTGGCGTTTGAAACGATGCATACTGGGTTCGACTTGCAATAGGATGAAATTCGTGTTATTCTGGATTCCACACCGCTAATCATCGGTTCCTGGTTGGTTTTCTCCCAGAGATCTCTGTGATTGATCTTTTTTTGAGCTCTGCTCTTGAGTATTGAGCGCAGACCTTCATTAACAGTTGTCTTCGCTCAATACTCAAGAGCAGATGGTCGGCCAGAAAAGATCAGCAACAGAGATCTCTGGGAGCAAACCAACACAGCAGGAACCGATTGTGCAACAAATAAGCAGGAAGAAATGGAGGTGGATTGGCCATACTCTGAGAAAACCATCAGGTGAGTGGCATCACTAGACAAGCCCTCAAGTGGAACCCGAAAGGGAAGCGGCGAGTTGGTCGTCAGTGCAAGGGTGACTTGGAGGAGGTCATGTGAAGAGGAGATGAAAGCATATGGGCAGACTTGTAGCCAGGTGAAAACTGTAGCAGAGAACCGAACGCAGTGGAGACGCGCGGCTGAAGCCCTATGTTCCTCTAGGAATTAAAGGAAATAATAGTAATAATCACCAGCCATTATAAAAAGTAGCTTTCAATATTACTACATTCTCGTTTTCATTAATGTAGCCAAAAATAGAAAAATTAATCACCTGTCCAATTTGATATGATGTAAAAAGATAAAAAGTGTAAAGAACAAGTTATGTGTTAAGAGACTAAGGGGATGAAGTTAGATGGATGGGTGGGTGGGTGTTTGGTCGTGGTGCTAGTGGTATTTAGCCTTCGAAATCTACCAACAGTCATCACGTGGTGTAAATACGCACTGATGACGATGATGATGATGATGAACTTTTATTCAAGGTTTTGGTGTTTACCTGCCTATTTATGTTTCTTTTTGTCTGACAATGGAGAATGAACAACACTTAAGAAAATTCAGTTGTACAAAGAGACTGACAGAAGAACAAAACTGAAATAAAGCAGTAATAGTAGTAGTAATATACACAGCATAAAATGGAAAACGTTATGAGTGATTAAACCTGCTGAAATCATTATCCCATTTGATTGCTAGTCATTAGCCTGACCTTCAAGCGATATTTCTTTAATTCCATTACGTCAATTGTTTATGTATGTATATTCAGTTTTCATCTTTAGCCACATTATATATGACGTCATTTTGATATTAGATAACACGTTTATGAAGTGTTTCTTTGCAGAGATATGATTGGTTGCAAGGTTTGGTGGTCACTAGCTGACATCAGTTAGAGAACCATTAAAATACCAACAATGGAGTACTGGACAGCCAGTTGTTTTATCAGCCTAGTTTGGGACTCCTCGCCATCCCACTGCCAGAGTTCGAACTTACAACCTTCCGGTTAGAAGGCGAGCTAACTTTTGAACCATTCAGCTACTGGGATCCGACTCCTCCTCAATGGCCAAGCCACGAATTCCAACTTCTACCAATTCGTGACTTTAGCGCAACTAGCACCAGCCAACGTGTCATCAGCGAGTGTACTTGTCCTCCCTCCCGATAGAGTGGACCTCTATATTCTACAAAAAAGCTCAACCACTGCGTTGTATTCATTTGCCTGTTATCACACAATAGGGGGGGACAGAGTGGAAGTATGAAAAAGTAACGTAGTTAGGTGGAGAGAGGGGTTATTTACTGAATCTTTGTTTATCGATTCAACACCACGCATATGCAGCCGAAATGACGCAACGCTCACATTGAAGATATGTAAAGTAGTAACATACAACATGGGGAAGAGAAGGAGAGGAAAATATATATGGGGTAAATCATGAAGAGGAGATGAAAACGTGTGGACAGACTTGGAGCCAGGTAAAGACTCTAGCAGAGAACCGAACGCACGAGACGCACTGCTGAAGCCTTATGTTCCTCTAGGAATTAAAGGAAACAATAATAATAAATCATGAAGCCGTGTGTGACTAAATCGACATGATTATGAGCAGTAATTTGTACTCAAAACGTCATCCAGTTAATAATACTGCATCACTGTATGATAATATTTGAAAGAAACTTATCTAATATGAAGCTTCTTCTACCACAACTGTAACATTTCTAAGCAGACTTGTCTATTGCATTCCCTCCGTTACTCTGATTGATTGTTCAAGGCCAATGTTAATTGTCAACTACTATTCTTGAACACAGCTGTAATTTCTTTCTTTTTCAAATTATTCTTAGTATATGATCACCAACGACGTTCTTAATTGTGGTGGACTGGATTAGGCATCAGACTGTACACGGGGGATGAGAAAACAGGAATACGCTCGACCACCAATAAGAAGACTCTAGAAAATCGAGATTTCACGTGTGGGTGATTCATGTTAAATATCACACAAACTCGAAAACCTATAGGCGAAAACCAACAAACTGTCAAAACAGACATGCAGCAAAGATAGGGACTGCAGGTGGTGAACATGGGGAAGACGGAGGTGATGAAGATAACCAACCAACAGAAGCACCAGCAACCAGCACCAATCACCGGCAACGGGAGAGACTTGACAGAAGTTACTTCCTTCACTTATCTAGGAAGCATTGTTTCAACCAAAGGCAGAACGGATGAAGATGTCAAAGCCAGCCAGGAAGAATCGGAAGGGCAAGATACGCTTTCATCACTCTGAAACCAGTTTGGAGATCTTCTGTGCTGACTTAGCACGAAGAACAACATTGGATTCTGCTTAACACAAATGTGAAGTCAGTCGGTCACTTCTTCTATATGGGTCATAAAATTGGGCAGCAAGTCACGAAAAGGATTTTCAACAGGCCAATGCAGAGATTTATCAACAGTTGCTCTCTCCTCTGGCTCCATATTGAAGATTAAATGGCAGGCCGCCTGGTCAGAAAGAAGTGGAAACATGAAACTCCGGCGGTGAACAAACCAACCAAGAGCCGATTGCTCAACAAATATGTAGGAGAAAATGGAGATGGATCGGGCACACGCCACTGAGGAAACCATCGAATGACACCGCGTGCAATTCAGGTCATCACTCAAGTGGGATCGAGATGGGGAGTGACGAGTGGGGCGTCGGTGCGAGAGTTACATGGAGGAGACCGTGTGACGAGGAAGAGATAAGAGAGTTTGGGCAATCGTGGACCCAGATGAAGAGGACAGCAGAAAATAGAAGAAAGTGGAGATGTGCTGTCAAAGCACTATGCCCCACTAGGAACCCAAGAAAATAATAATAATATAATACTAAAATTGTATGACATTCCTTTCCTTAATAGACTTCAATTTGTCAACTACAGAAATGGAAGAAATGCACGTCTGAAAATTACATTACACTTATAAAACTGAGGTATGTGTATATGGTCTTAACAAACAGCTTACTTGAGGGTGTGTAGCTAAACGAACTGACCACCAAACAGGAGATTTCGAGAAACATGAGACTTGAGTATCTGAACCAGACAGATAAAAACCATAGGTATCCGATTTGAAAGCCCATTCCCCTGTACCATCCGGCGCAAATTCTAAACGAAAACGTTCTTCAGCATCTAAAGAATAAAAACAATTAAAAAGGAATTTATTATCACGCATTAAATGAATATTAAGGTGAAGATAGATACACAAATGAGAATGATAGTAGGCTTATTATTCTACTAAAGGATAAATAGAGTTAAGCAAAATTTTGATGAGTCAGGACGATATATACTACTGATATGAGTGGATGGAAACCATAGACGCTAGAAATTATTGCTTACACTCTAAATCAAACTGATCTAAGCGTCACACGGCCATGTCGTACCTTCATGGTCGCCGGTTACGAATTCTCACTAGAACGCCAGGTAACTTCATGTTTAGGATCAGTCGCTTCTAGTGATTATTATTGTTTCCTTCTGTTCCCAGAGGAGCATAGGGCTTCATCCGCACCTCTCCATTGCGTTCGGTTCTCCGCCAACGTTTTCACCTGGATCTACGTCTGCCTATTTGCTTTTATCTCCCCTTCACATAACCTCCTCCATGTCAACCCACCTTCAGACGACCAACTCGCTGCTGCCCATTTAGGTTCCACTCGAGCAATGGCCTGGCGTGTGATGTCACTCATTTGATGATTTTCTCAGAGTATAACCAATCCACCTCCATTTCTTCCTGCATGTTTGTTGCACAGTCAGTTCCTGCTGGGTTGGTTCGTTAAATGCCAGGGATCCTTGTTGCTGATCTTTTCTGGTCAGCCATCTGATCTGTTGATGAAGGTCTGTAGTTTGTTCGAAGTGCCCTTCGTGATGCGGCGCCAAGTCTCTGTCCGTATGCTAGTACTGACTTCTGATTGGAGTTGAAAAACTGAGTCTTATATTTCATGCTGAGTGTGCTGTTGACCTCCACACAAATTTGAGAGTGATGAAAGCTCGCCTTGCTTTCCCAATCTTCGCTTTAATATCCTCGCCAGTTCCGTCCGCCTGTAGTTGAAACGATGCCTCTCAGGTCGGTAGGTAGGTAAAGGAGGTTGCTTCTTCCAGATTGCTCCCATCTATGCCGATTGTTACCTGTTGCTGTTGGCCAGGAATCTTCATCACCTACGTCTGTTTTCTCTATGTTCACCTGAAGTCCTTCCTATCTTCCCTGGCTGCTTCTTCTATCACCAACTTGTTGCTTTTCACTTGTGTATCTTCTAGTTTGTGGGAAATTGGACATATATCATCGGTGAAGTCCAGATCCTCCAAGTTTTTTGTGTGGGTCCATTTTATACCTGTTTCCTCGCTGCTGGCCGTTGTCTGTCGCATTATCCAGTCTACCACAATCAGGAAAATCATTAGAGATAGTGGGCAGCCAGCCAGCCTTGTCTTACTTCCGTCTTTACTTTGAAGGATTCCGTGAATTTCCCACTGTGGATTACTTGGCATGCAGCATTGTCTTACAAATGTTGGATGAGGTGTTTAATTTTTGGCGGTACCCCGTAGTAGCGGAGTAGTTGCCAAATCACCTCATCCAGGGCGTGTTTGATTCTCTCCAGGATGATGCGGTTTAGTATTTTGCTTGGGATAGACAATGAGCATCAGACTAATCGGTTATAGGTTTGATCACGAGTTGACATTGATTAGAGAACCACTGGAAGATCTGGGTTCGAACCCCAGTGGATGTGTGCTGATGAGCAGTTCCAAACTAGGACGAAACAATTGGCTGTTTAATACTCCCAGATTTTCCACTGGTTCTATAACCGATGTCAGCTCATGATGTAATCCTGGAAACACCTACGGTCAATACCTTCATTCTTATTAATATTATGCTTTCAACGGCCATTTCTCACAGTCATAAAGTAGGACATAGAAAACTGTTGTGCAGTACATGTACGCCTTCTGAAATAACCAGTTGGATATTAACGTCTGGCCAACAACAACAACAAAAAACAATCCAGTTTGGTAAATGCGAAACAAGCCTTTTTCTATCCCTACAACTACAAAAAAAAACAACAGTATCACATGATTGAAGGTATGAAATTCCTTACTACAAATTCTTTATGTATTTCTCAGTGAATGAAAAACAAAACGATGTTGTTTTTACTGATGTTTCGCTATTTAATGCTGCTGTTATTAGCTTTATCAAAGTGTTATTAAAGTGGAATTTACAAAATCTCAGCTAATATGTAGCAACTTAATCATCGTTCTTCAGTATGAGGTAATTTCCGTGTTGTTTGTTGTTATCAAGTTGGCCAATTGGTAAAGATAACAAAAGCATGTGTAGATTATTCGATTTGCTAAGCACATGAAACTATAAAAACAGTATGTGCCTAAATAGGGAAACTGCTTATCCCATTTGTATTTAGATTAGATTGCACACTAGTTAGTAACTAGTGTAATGTGTCTAGTCCTTTCTTTCCTGCAGACTGAATTTTATCAGTCAAGTTTGCAATGTGGACACCATGCCACTAGCTGGCTCGCCAACACGGTGCCCTGTGAATTGTCGATATTAGATTGGCTGGAGGAAATTGGCAGAAAGCCTTCGACGACCTAGATTTTGTGCTTGTTGGCGCTCATCAGTCAGCAGGGTAAGCGTATCTACAGTCTTGAAGGAACTCATTTCCCTCCTGAGTTTCGAACCCGAACAAAGACCTAGTGACATTACACTAATTACAAACTAGTGTCCAGTCTAAGTATCCAATACAGTCCTACAGGAAGTCAGCCGTCAGCCGTGAACAGCTCAGTAGTAACGTCTCTGACTGACTGCAACACTGGGTGACACGGGTTCGAATCTCATGAGGGGCACAAGTTCCTTCAGGGTTGCATATACGCCTTGCTGACTGGTGACAGTGCCAACAAACACGAAACCTAGGTGGAGGGTTTCCACACGATTGCTTCCAACCATCTATTATCACATTTGTATTGATTTTGTCACTTCATTGAGAGAGGAGGTGTTGAAACCAGGTCAAATTCTGGATAATTTCAATATTTTCAAGTATTGGTTTTGTAGGAAATTTGTTTGATTGGATGGAGGATTTCATCATGCTGAAGAGTCCCAAACTAGGACGAAACAGTCGTACAGTACTTCCAGGTTTTCCAATGGTTCTCTAAGTAATGTCAGCTCATGATGAAATCCTCCATCCAATTTTTGTGTGGCCTGATTCTACAGCGTGTAGACAGACCTATGGTTGATGATTTTCCAAGCTTTTCTAGTTCAACTGGATTTCTCACTGGTCGAATAGATGCTCTATGGTGTTCGCCTCTTCTGATTACCTCGATTTCTCGTATCACATTCCAGGTACTTTATTTTATGGATAAAATTAGATTGTGAATCCTTTGGAATTTAATCTTTTACATAGACAAAGGTTGCTCTGTGTAGTATGTCTATTGTTTTGAAGAAACCGACGATGATTGTTGATGTCTACTGAGTACTTACTCTGCTGATATCGTCTGGACACATTTCTGATCTATATTGGAATGACAACGGTGTGTGTGTTGAGGTCCATGTTGGTGTTAATTTGCGTAAATATGATGTTCTTATTATTATTATATGCCTGAGAATTTCAGTAAAAACACAATAACGTTTTCAAGTATTGGTTTGTAGGGATTTGGTTGATTGGTTACAGGATTTCATCATGAGCTGACATTGGTTAGAGAACCATTGGAAAACTAGCTGGGAGTACTGGACAGCTGTTTCGTCAGCCTAGTTTGGGACTCTTCATCATTACGCACACCCCATCAGGGTTCGAACCCAGGACCTTCTAGTTACAAGGCGAGCTAGCTCGTAGACCATTAAGCCACTGGGACCCAATCCAATGGCCAGTCCATGAATTCTAACTTCTGCCAATTCACGATATAGCGCAACCGCTAGTCAATGTCTTCGGCGAGTATTTGTCCTCACACCCGACCTGCTGCACCCTACTAGCCATGATTTCTCACTAGAACCCCAGGTAACCACCTACCTGAATAGGGCCAGTCGCCAGTGAGTATCTCATTGATATTCAAGTATTGGTTTGTAAGGATTTGGTTGATTGGTTACAGGATTTCCCAAGTGGCTTAATGGTTTACGAGCTAGCTCGCCTTGTAACCAGAAGGTCCTGGGTTCGAACCCCGATGGGTGCGTACGGATGAAGAGTCCCAAACTAGGACGAAACAGCTGTCCAGTACTCCCAGCTAGTTTTCCAATGGTTCTCTAATCAATGTCAGCTCATAATGAAAATCCTGTAAACAATAAAGTTTTGTTTTTTCCATTCATTCATTGGGAAACACAAAAACTTTCCTAGTTAGTAATGAATATTTGTGCTGTATCAGCACAAGTTACCTATCTTGGCATAATATGCATACCCTATAACATGAACTGGATTCATTCATCGGCTTATATCACAGACACACACACACACACGCACACATACACACTCAGAGATAGACAAAAATCTGGAGCCAGAAAACAAGACTAATTAGGTAACAAGTGCACGTGGCGTGAGAGTGTGTGTATGCGGGCATGTAATGGTGCGTTTTCTTTTCTGTAGCCTCAGCTAAATCAGCATGATATTTTGCTTCAAAGTCAGTGCATAGTACAAAAGTACTTTGTTCAAGGTGTATGCGCGCGCATTGATGTGGGAAAATTCATATAGGCAGGGCAAAATCGTATTATTATTATTATTATTATAAATGATATAATTGGAGAAACAAAGTTCACAATGAACGATGTGTTATAATGTTAACATAAAAACACCACATAAATATTCGTAATTTTTCCTATTCCACTTAGAATTTAATTTAACGATAGAAATAAAAAGGGAGGAAAACCGAAAAAATTCAAAATTTATGCGAATGAAGGACTGAAGACTCCTGCTCCTTTTCTAGCTGACCAATAACTTAGTTCAAGAAGTAAAGACAGACTGCCTTGTTTGTTTCGCCTCTTCCATTTTTATTACTTACCAGGTTAACTGCCCATGAGTACGATCAGGCAAGTTCATCGTTTGGTTTGCCAAAGGTCCGAATAAAGCTGCTATACGCAGCTCCATACTAGTTCATCTCGTCGATACACCAACAAAGCTTTTAAAGTTAGATCTATCATATCTCACCCAATCTTTCGCCGCATACTCTACGAGTAAGACTTTTACACACAACAGAGGCAATCAGAATCCTATTTGAACAAGTCAAATCTGTGTGCCCCTTTCTTTGCCATGACCAACTACATAATATGTATTTTTTCCCTCCCCTTGTAACTATCTTTTAACTTTGTCAGTTTATTACGTAATTACAATTCTAGCTAATTCTATTAACTTGTTTGTATTCCACGTAATTCTACCGAGTCATCCTATTCTTCTTACTTATCGTTATTTTACAAATTCCTATATTGGTTGAAGGATTTCATCATGAGCTGACATCAGTCAGCTGGACAGTTATTTCGTCAATCTAGTTCGGGACTTTTCAGCAGTACGCACCCACCACAGGAGGTTCGAAACTAGGGTCTTCTGGTTACAAGGCGAGCTCGTAGACCATTCAGAGCCACTGGGACCCGATCCACTCGCTAGTCCATGAATTCTAACTTCTGCCAATTCATGACATAGGGTGACCACTTCGCAATGTCTTCATTGATGAGTTACTGCCTCAAGTTCAACCTGCCATACCCTACTCGTCACGGCTTCCCACTAAAACCTGGTGACGACCAGTCGCTAGTGGGTATCAGATCAATTTTGTAGGAGTTTTGTCTGACTGATTGGAGAGTTTCATCATAAGCTGATATTAATTAGAGAACCATTGGAAAACCATCTGGGAGTACTGGACAGCTGTTTCGACCCAGTTTGGGACTTGTTGCTAACGCCTAAGAATCAAATAATCTTGAATTCCATAATTGATTTCACCCCTCCTTTAAAACTTAGGTATCTTGTTACTAACAACTATTAGTTATTTGTTTTGATGACTTTTAACCTCTTAATTTCACCCTCCCCACTATACCTAAAACTGATGGAATAATAAAATATATTAGTGTAGAGACAGAGGATGATGAGGAACTAATTGAAAAGGAATGTATTTCTTCGCTCAATCTGTTGTTTTCTTTTAAAATTTTTTCTATTCCTTTTCGTTCCCAGTGGAACATCAGGCTTCAAGCTAGAGGTTTGAAGTTCCGTTAGCAGTGATGTCTATTTTCACGTAATAAGGTTGCTAGCCTCGTGCCCAACCTTCCCTGTTTACCAGTCTTATTACTGGCTTGGCAAGGTAAAGGAGTGCGTCCAGTGGCCGGGGATCGAACCCCGAACCACCACTTCTTTTCTACCTCTTTGATTCCCTTCAAACTGCAGGACCTATCAGTGTCTCACCAGAACCTTAAAAGTCAAGATACTGGGAAAAATCATCAAAGGAAGCTATCATGGCATATCTGGAAAACAACATCTTGTTTGTTCAAAGCACAGAGCATGGACTTCCGAGGAAACCTCTCATCATGCCTGTCAAACCTCTTTTTATGGTGACAGAAAGCTGGATCAAGTCAAGGGACAACAGAAGACCCATTGACGTCGTTTTCAGAAAAGCCTTCAACAAAAAAAATACCTCACAAAAGACTGTTCAAGAAACTGAAAAGTTTTGGAATCAAAGGCAGCTAACTAAACTGGATTAGGGAATTCCTCATACGTAGGAGGAGAAAGAGGGTCAGGATCAACTCAAGACTCTCCTCCTGGACAACAGTACCTAGTAGAGTGCCACAAGGCACTCTTATTTATTTTGTATATCAATGAGTACTCTCTGCTCACCGATTCCCCTATGGTCCCACTTGAACATGATTTAAAAATTAGGAGGGAGCCAAATGGCGACAATGATACGCTCACGTTGCAAGGAGACCTCAACAAATTGTTAGAGTGGTCCAAAGAATGGAAATGCACAACCATGTGCATTGGAGACGCAAGCTTCAGCTCCTACGAACTAGAGGGAATAACACTCCCATCAGTTCAGACTCACATGGATCTGAGTGTCATGGTAGGTCACGACTTAAAAACTACAGAACACTGACACGTGGTGGCAGCACGTAGTTTCATATCTTTATGGGCAATTCGTACAGTCTTTACTAGAATGGCCAGAGATATATTCACCTCCTTATATACATACATCTCTGGTGAGGTCAAGACTGGAAAATTGTATCCAGACAGCAAGTCCTTGTCTTAAAGAGGATTCACATATTCTAGAAAAGGTTCAAAGGAAGGAAACACATAGAATTCCTGGCATGACTAGTTTATCATACAAGGCAAGACAAAACAGATTAAATGTCTTCTCCCTGTCATACAGTTGGGAGAGAGGAGATCTCATTACAGTGTTTAAAATTTTAAATAGTGACTATAGACCTGACCCATTATCTCTTTTCCTTCCCACAAGGTCGGAACAACCTAGAGGACATAGCAGCAGAGTTCAAAAGCCAAGAAGAAATCATATTGCTGTTGAGTATTGGTTCTCACATTGAGTCATAAACTCTCGGAACCGATTCCCAGAAGAAATGGTGTCTGCAACCTCAACTGATTTATTCAAGAAGGGTTTGGATAAGCACAGAAGTTTACTAGAAAAGGATTAACATACGTTTCAAGCCTTCTACCGTCAATCAATAAATCTGAATAAGGTTTCTGAAGTTTCAGTAGAGGTGGGACCTGTTAGCCTGATGCCTTTTCCAGGCCAACTACAGGCAATTAAACTAACTAGGCTTTATAAACGTCTGTGGTAGGATGGAGTGAGGTTCCAACTCGTCAACTGGCGAGTGGTTGAAAGTCAAGCCAAAGCTTCGTATTACTTAGAAAGAATAAACTGCTTTTAAGAGAAAAGGTTACAAGTGCAGCTGTCTATTAGTAGTAAATGTTCATTGGGATTTACTGATCAAGTGTGCTACGCGGTGGTCGGTCACTAGGCTAATTGATACAATGGTGTTTTATCAGAAGGTATTAACCAATAGATGATAAGCCCAGGTCCAAACATCATGATAATGACGAAAGTAAAGAATAGACACCACAGTCAACTGGCCTTGGACTAACCAAACAGACCGCTCAGCATTACAAATGGATGCTTTACATAAACGCCGTTGCAAGTTTCATTGCAACCTAAATCCTGGATCAGGGTGAAACTTGCATTTGTGAGCGACCTGATTGGCTGGCTCAAGGTCATTTGACTGTGGTGTCTATTCTTTACTGTTAACCTGATGATATATGCTCAAATCTGCAAAGTAATGTCGCTTTTGATGTTGGGTGGTTGGAGGTAATTTAACAGGAAACCCTAAATCTATGTTTCATGTTTACTGAAACTCGACAGCAAGGAGTGTCTGTAACTCCAAAGGAATTGAAGTCTTCGCTGGAGAATTCACTATTCAGAATAAGGTCTAGACATATGATACTGACTACTCTTAAAGGTTGGTCAAGACCCAAGGTAGCAGGTGCTCCTCCATAAGTCCAGGAGATCCTGGCGACTGCCTTCAACTACCTCATATATCTCTTATATTCTTAACAGCTGATTAACCTACATCGACTTGTTATTCAAATAAAGGATTTAAAAATAACTACTATTACCCAGGCTTCTGTAGCACATCCCATTTCCACCTGTTCTATTCTGTCATTTTTAAATGTCTCCACAATTGTCCATAAGGTTTCATTCCGTATTCACATGATCTCTTCCATGTCTCCCAACGATGCTCAACTCGTCTTTTCTAATTTAATTCTAAACCGAGGGGGCCCTGGTACGTGACAGGTATTCAGTCACCACCTCCATCTGCATACTTATGGGGCAACAGAATGTTGATTGGTTCGTTCCCCACAGTTCCTTGTTACTTATTATCCTTTCTGGTCGCCCATCTGCTAATGATGGTAGCCTGTAAGAGCCTGCCGAAAATGCTTCTCATAAAGTGCCAGGTCCCTAGACCACACATAGAAGTATTTAATTCACATCATTGTTGAAAACTAAGATCTTCTTCTTTGCTGAGTGCAACACATTCCCACACTGATGATCTCACAGTAATGAAGATCTATTTCGCGATCCTGGCTTTGACATCTTCATCATCCATGGTGAATATGGCTAAGATGATACTGTCTAGTTTGCCAGTCAGTTCTAAGCCCAGGAGGAAGGGGAAGTTTAGGCGTAGGAGCAAATGACCCCACTGAAGAAATTCAATCAATTCACATAATTACAATAGAAAAAAGCAACCTAGCGACCAAAGATAACTGAAAATATACCCTATAGAAATGATCACAGTGCAGTAGACGACCATCAAATCGCACCATTCAACAGAGAACAATGTTAGCTACCAGAAATTCATATAAATTTAAGAACAAAATGAAATTTACATATCCAACCTACCTGATTTCGATGATGTACTTATTTTGCCATCTTTATTAACTGATAGAAAACGACCCAAAGAATTTTGTAAAAATAATGTATCCGTATGCTTTCGATCAGTGATCAACGTCCATACTTGACGACGTCTTAGCGCTGTTCCAGAAATATTAATTTCATTGTTAAACACTTCCGCGGTAAGAAATCGTCCAGATGGAATATGCAATATGCCTAATTTCAAGCAGTCTTGAAAATCTTCACATACTCCGTTGCAATTCATTTATCTATTGTGGACAGTATAATAAAGTAATCAATAATCGGGAGTATTAATAACAATAACAATAATGGTAATAAAAACAATTAAGACATTGAATGGTGGTCACACTACTTTATTATTGTTGTTCCCTTGGGTTCCGAGTGAAACATAGGGCTTCAACAGCACATCTCCACACCTTGTCATATTCTCAACGGTCCCCTTTAGCTGGCCTCACGATTGCCAACAGTCTCTGGTGTACTCCACGTCACCCTCGGACCAACGCCCAAATGGTCGTTCTCCATAAGGGTTTCACTCAAGGGCCTGGCGCACGATGTTACCCGACGGCCTCCTCAGCGTGTGCCCATTCCATCTCCATTTTCTTCTACATATCTGTTGAGTTGGTTCGTTAGTCAAAGCACACCACAGGTCAATAAGAGGTGAAAAACATGAATCCTTTTATTCAGATTTTGTTGTCATTATTTCACTCCTTGAGTTTCAAGTGAAACATTGGGCCTCAAAGGTTTAGGGTTTTCGAAGCGGTGGAGTTGTTTTGCAGTGTGGTGCGATTGCTCGCCTCACGCCCAACCTCCCTTCTTTTCTTGGCTAGCTTACTGTCGACTAGGAGAGGTGGCAATCGATGGGCGACATTCTGGTTTAATGGTTATACAGTCCTAAGTGCAGTATGAAGTCGTGGATGAGTACTACTGAAGAATTTCTCGAAGTTACACAAAACTTTGTTCTCGTGGTCCAAGTGGATGACGGACTGGGGTCTGAAACAATGAGGTTCTGAGTTCCACTCAAAAAGGGAACACCATCATCCCTATCTGACGACCCAGGTACATCTAGTTGACGAGGTACTAGATTCCACACAGCTAGCCACCACCGACTGACCAAGAAAGCTTACTGAAGAATACTAAACTAGGGTAAAGCAACTATCTAACTCACCTTAGATTTTAGTGGCTCACTATCTGATCAAGCACAGTTGAATCAAACAAATGATTGAGAAAATGTTAATTTGCTTCCTTTAACTTAATTTGGCATAATTAGAATGGTTTTAGGAGAATAAAACGGCCGACTACTGACCGAAGAATCAGGCTTTACTGACCATTTAATTAATATAGCACACTTTTTAACATTTATGCAACACCAACTTTATAGTTTAGAAGTAAAAAATCGTTTCTAAAAAGTATTCACAAGTAAACATTTCAAAATCCTTAAAAGCTGTAAAGTGAAATCGGAAATGTGGCTTATTGGTTATATCAAGTGTTGGCTTGTAGGGATTTAATTGGTTACGGTATTGATCACGAGCTAATATCTATTAGGGAACCATTTGAAAACCACCGCTGGAATACTGGACAGCCTAGTGTGGGACTCTTCATCAGTACGCACCCATCTCACTGCTAGGGTTTGAACCCAGGACCTTCCGGTTACAAGTCAAGCTAGCTTGTAGACCATTCAGCCACTGGGACCCGATCCAATGCCCAGCCAATGAATTCCATCTTCTGCCAATTCGTGGTACTATTTCTAGCGCAACCACCAGTCAGTGTCACAGGCAAGTAACTGTCCTCCTGCTTACCTGACTTGGCTATAGTACTCTACATTCAAGTAACAAGCGCTAGATTCCAGTACCGCCCAAATAACTTCAGCCTCGGCGACTGGATAGTATCATTAGTCCAAAAAACATATGAACATATGAACAAAATCTGTTTTAGGTAACTAAATTCTAACTTTAAAGAGAAGAATACGTAGTATTCAATCGATACCAGCGTCATCTTAGATCAAGGATCACAATGACTGAAATCAACCGCTCTTCATGTACCACACAAAGTAAGAGAAGAGAGGTTCAAAATAGAGATAATAAACAGAAGTGTAAGGGAAAAAGAGTAGTAATATGAAGGAACAACAGAGATTTATTGGATATGAACAAATCACAAAAAGTGAATGCATTTGCGCCAGCCACTGACAACGACGATTTTCAGCCATATCACCAATTGTCTACAGCTGCTGACATTGGTTCTTACCATCCCGAAGACCCCAACCTCCCCACATGGCTGGCTGGTTGGCCTGAACTAACTCTCACGGATTTCACTGACTGATGAAGCCATGTTTTGGTTTAACCAGCACATGCTAGCTCTTTTCCAACCTGATCCATCCTATGTCAGTCAGCTAATATATTGCCCATTGTTGCGGAAGGCGATCGATGGCTAGGCTACCCTAGGCCTGTGTAACACATGTCCTAACCAACTCTCTCAATTGATGTAACTTCACAACCTCGTCGATTGATTTTCCCTACTTACCTAGCACTCGACTGATACCTCACCTCAATATTATTCACCCACACTACTATACCACCTAACACGGGTGATAGAAATGAGATTAAGCAGTCAGATAGTAAGGCTTATAACTTAGTGAACTGTTATTAAAATGATTCCATATGACTATAATGAAATGAACACGATAGTTACATCTTTAATGACAGTGTAAACTGTGAACTAGTAAGTGAATGACAAATTATCACCCAGTTTACTAACATTGCCCTAGAGGTTTTTTTAAGTTCATAAATATAATTTGACATTTATTATGATAAAAATGATGTGAAATGTCAAACCGTTTGTAAATCTCTTTGAAGATGCCAAAAAAGCAAGAACATGACGTAAACTCCCTTGTAACAAAACCTTCACCATTTTAGCATCTCTAATAGGAAAAAAATTCAAAATTAACAATAAATCAGAGATTTCAAAAACGTATGCTTCAAATTTGAAATAATTTGCTGGAAGGAGACTAGCAGTAGAATCCAGGATGCATTTTGGACTCGTCAGCTGGATGTACCTTCAATCCTCAGTGAGTAACAGTGTTCCCAGCGAGACTCGAACACAGTGCCCATCGTTTCAAACACGAAAGCATTATCCACCAGAGCACTTGAACCCCGAGAGACATCAACTCTTGTACGAGGAGCATCAATTATTGATTTATTTAAGTCAATTTTGGTTTTTCCCGTTGATTAAATCCCAACACAGGACGAAATGCTCATCTTGGACTCTACTGCCAGTCACCATAGCCACTAGATTACCCCAAATTATTTCCAAAGACATCATCGGAACATCCCGTAATAGGAACCGACACATGTCATTAGAGGTCGAACATTTCTGTCGAATCAATCAACGGGGAAACTGAAACTAGTAGGGTACAGCAGGTTGAAGATGAGGCAGTAACTCATCGAAGAAGACATTGCGAAATGGTCGCGCTATGTCCTGAATTGGCAGAAGTTAGAATTCAAGGACCATTGGATGGGGTCCCAGTGGCTCAATGGTCTACGAGCTCGCCTTGTAACCGGAAGGTCCTGGGTTCAAACCCCGGTGGGTGCGTACTGTGAAGAGTCCCAAACTAGGACGAAACAGCTGTCCAGTACTTCCAGGTTTTCTCTAACTGATGTCAGCTCATGATGAAATCCTCCATACAATCAGACAAAATCCCTACAAAACCAATACTTGAAAATTGAAATTAACAGAAATGATAACCTAGTATAGCTCAGTTAAATGAGTCACATTTTGTAATGAAAACTACAGTAGATCAAAAACCTTTCGTCATCATATTAAACCTTCCTTGGCAAGCTTTGCTTTGCTACCCTACTGGAGATGTGCTATTACACCTCCTTTCTTTGGTTTAGTGATCTCCATTGTTATTTTGACCTTCAGTATGTCCTTTTAAAACTTGACCTGTGTCTATTTTCACACACCTTAATGCTTTATTAGTTTCATAAGTATTCCTATGAAGCACATGTGTTGCGCAGATACACTACACGAATCAGACAAATGACGTCTTCTTATTGCTTTGTCGAAATAAGCAAAACGTCTTGTAAAAATTTAGAGGCCATCACACATTAGTGGTAATTATTCGTTAGTCTACATATTTGTTCAGACTGAGTTATTTCACTTTTCAGATGTATATTTCAGAGATATACTCAACCGATGATAACCTAAGAAAAGATGAAAATATCTTTCAAATGTCAGAAAGGAACAATGGGTACAGCAGGTCTGGTGTGTGGACAGGTACTCGCCGGTGACATTGACTGGCGGTTGCGCTATATATATCGCGAATCGGTGGAAGTTGGAATTCATGGGCTGGACATTGGACGGGTCTCAGTGACTGAATGGTCTACGAGCACGCCTCGTAACCAGAAGGTCCTGGGTTCAAACCCCAGTTTGGTGGGTGTGTACTGATGAAGAGTCCCAAACTAGGCTGACGAAACACCTGTCTGGCAGTACTCCCAGGTTTTCCAATAGTTCTCTAACCGATGTCAGCAGCTCACGATGAAATCCTGTAACCAAAGACAGAATTACTATGACTTACATTTACGAAAGCAGATCGCCACTGTAGGATAAATACCTGATCGATTTATTTTTATTCTTTATGTCCCTTCTAATGCGAAATAGGGTTTCACGCTAAAAGGTTTGAATTCTCATTAACCGCGGTGTTGACTTTAGGAGGTGAAGTTCCTAACCTTCACATCTAACATTGCCCCTTTTCTCAGCTTACTGTCAACTAGGTAAAGTTTAGGAGTTCATCGGTTATTGAGAATTGGGCCTGGACCTCCTGTGTGTCTGGTCACTTACTTTGATTGGAAATTAATTAGTAGATAGTGCAATGTGTCTAGTCGTTTCTTCCCTGCAGAGTGAATTCTATCAGTCAGGTTTGCAATGTAGCCACCATGCTACTAGGTGGCTCAACATCATGGTGCACTGTGAATTCTTGGTATTAGGTGGTTGGACGCAGTCGGCAGGAAGCCTTAAACCTAGGGCTTCGGGTGATTCTGGTTCGATTCTCAGAAGGAACATGGGTTCCTTCAAGATTTCAGATATTACCTTGTTGACGAGTGCCAACTAGCACGAACCCTAAGTGAGACTGGGTCCCCTGCTGATGGCCTCTAACCGTCTAATGCTATTCTCCTAAGTAGTTATTCAGAACAAGCTTTCCAAGTATCGAGCTGTATGTCACTGGAAGTTGCAATGGCTGGAACGGGATTCGAAC